AAACAAGCAACCTTTTGGCTGGGGAGGACTTGTGGGTGGCAAATGTGTACACTCAATCTTTTACACCATCAAAACCACTGTGAACTATCTCCATGCACATGTCAGAAAAATAAACCAAAACCCAAACCAATGACGGTCCTGAAAGTGTGTGCCATCCAGGTCTCCCAGGCAGTGCTGGGTGGAATGTGGAGTGTCTCGGCACCCTCGGAATGAGATGCCAATTCCTTATAAAATTAAACAGGTGCTCAGCATGAGCAGCAGCTGCACTCTTGGGTGTTTATCCCGGAGATATGAAAACCATGCTCACACAAGCGACGGTGGATGTTCATGGCAGCTTTGTGTACAATAACTCCATCCTGAAAGGGCCCACGCGCTCCTTCAAGGAGGCTGGGAGAGCAAACAGTGGAGCTTCTGCACTAGGCAAGGCCACAGCAACAGCACAGAATACACCACGGTGTGTGCACTTAGCCACCTGTGTGGTGGCGGAACTCGAACTGGGGGAAAAGGCCGAGCACGGGAGGTGCCGCATCTGATGCATTTGTACATAGACGACAGCAACCGAGAGACCAAGGACCAGAATGCTGGTGGCCTGCACCCAGGGAGGGGAATGGGGGAAGTTGGCTACAGCTATGAAGGGCAGCGTGAGGCATGCTGAGGTGGCAATAAGGCTCATCCTTGATCGTGTTAGCAATCAGGTGATTCTACATGGTGACATCACATAGAGCTAGACAGACAGACACGGACACAAAGCACACAGACACACAGACATAGGCATTACACTCCCAGAGACACACACAGACACAAACTTAAGGACACAGCTAAATGCACAGAGATAGGCATAGGGATGTTGGCGTGGAAGCTGGTCAAGTGTGCAATCTGAGCAAGGTTAATGGTTGGTATCACGGTTCAGTTCCGGGTTACAGTGCTGTGCTGTAGTTTGGAAGATGTTTGTGGGGAGACTAGGTGAAGGGCACATGTGTGAGTGAGCTCTGTGCTATTATTTTTCTTCTTCTCTTCTTCCCTCCCTTCCTTTCTCCCCCTCCCTCCCCCCTCCCTCCCCCCTCCCTCCCTCCCTCTCCTTCCCCTTTTCCTGACAGACTTTCACTATATATGTAGCCCAGGTTGGCCACACACTCACCACTTCCTAAGTGCTGGAATCACACCTACACATTCCAGCCCCAATTCTCTACATAATATTTTGTACTTGCAATAATCCCCAAACAGAAACTTATCTCCAAACAGAAACTTATCTCCAAACGGAAAACTGTAGCAGATTGTTTCAGTCAACATCCCTGGTCAGAGGCATCACCCCAGAGGTTCTCCTGAATGTTCGGGCAGGGGTTAGAGTTGGTGTTGGGGGTTAAGATTGGGTTTGGGGATAGGGTTAGGGATCTATTATGAATATCCTTCAGGTAAAATGTTTGTTTCTTGCTAATGGAGTTCTCCTTCCTCCCCTTCTGCCTTCATCCTTGGCACAGTCGGGATTTGAGAATTCTTGCTAACAGAAGGAATGTCAAACAGTATCTTATCACTGCTTTAGTGTTTTTTCACTGATTAGCTGTGGGTTAAAATTCTTTTAATATCTTACAAGCCCGTTTGGGGTTCATTTCCTAGACAGTGTTCAGGTTCACTCACACACTGAACTCCACATGTCCCAGACGCCGAGCTGATGCCGTTCTTCCCACATATTTGTTTGTTTGTTTTGTTTTTGACACAGGGTTTCGTGTCTCATGTTGTTCAGCTGGCCTGAAACTCTCCATGTGGCAGAGGCTGACCTTGAATTTTTTACCTTCCTGCCTTCATCTCCAAAATGGGGGGGTGTGTGTGAAAGTACCAGATGCCAGATTTCATGTGATGCTGGAGATTGAACCCAGGGCCTTGTGTATGCTAAGCAAGTGCTCAACCAACTGAGCTACATCCCAGCCATCCACTCCCCCACCCCCCCTCTCTCTTCCTGTCCCTAGAGTTTCTCAGTATTGCTTACAAAGCCCAGAACACAAGAACTTTCAGAATCACAGCACTACGTCTTTACACCCCCTGAGTGGGAGACTCTTGGTGGCTTCAGGATATGCAACTTGTTCTCAGGAGCCAGCATAAGGGGTCAGAGAAGAAAGCCCCATGCTAGCAGCCCAGGATGCCTCTGAGAGTCTAGCCACCTCCTTGCCAGCCTGTTGTAACTGGGTCAGGCTCCCACCTCTGTTGGAGCGGCGGCCTCCAAACGGATCAAGTCAGATTGCTCACAAACATCTCCTACTGACTAGGTTTTCTGACTAAAGTCTGCCTACCACAGATTTCAACAGAGTTAAGGACTTCCTGGGAGAATGTTCTAGCAGTTCTTCCTTTCTGCTCGGGAGGCACAGGGCTGCTGATGTGTTGCCTCTTCCTTGTAGCAGAGGACCTCCCAGACTCCTTTAGTGTGCTCTGGGGGACTGGTAAGAGCCTCTCTCTGCAGAGTGGTGGCTTTTAATGTGATGCTGGGTCACAGGGGCACTCCCTTTTCTTCTTCATCCACAGCAAAGGAAGCTAAGGAAGGGAGATCAACTAAGATGGGTGTCTCTAAGGTCAGGTCACCTGGGGGGTGGAAAACGGATGTTTTAATAGACATGGTCACTCACTAGTGAGGGACTTAAAAAGTTTTATTTTTGGTCGTATGTTTATCTGGGTGGGCGGTATACGCATGTTGTAAGTGCTGGTTCCCTCAGAGTTCAGAAGATAATGTTGGATTCCCAAAAGCTGGAGTGACAAGCAGTTGTGAGCCAATTGATGTGTGAGCTGGGAACTGAACGAGGGCCCTCTACAAGGACAGTAGAGCATTTTAAACCACTGAGCCATCTCTCCAGCCCCTAGTGGTGGACATTTAAGAAGAATGCGCCCTGAGAGGCGCAACTAATAGGGTGGTGATGGGGAATGAAGCTCCCCCAGGGCAGTCAAGACTTAAATGCAGTAGTTCACAGTTTTCAGTGGGGAGCCTGGTGTTTGGTGAGTGCTCAGCCACCACCACCTGCTACTGGAAAGGCATGGGCAGCTGCTGACATCGGACAGAACTTGGAGAGGGGCTGGTGAGATGACTCAGTGGGGAAAAGCACTGGTCACCAGGGCTGACGACCTGAGTTTGATCCCTGGAACCCACCTGGGGGAAGGCAAGAGCTGACCCCTGCCTGACTGCCGCACATGCTCACCCACATAGACACACAAATAAATAAATAAAATCTAAACATTAAAAAACGTAAAGGACCCGAAGAGGAAACCAAGAGCTGGCAAACAAAATAAGCTTTGGCACTCCAAAATCCAGGCTAAATTGGAACATCCTGGAAAGATGGGGCTGTGTTCTTTTCCCGTGTTCACACATCTTTTTTTAATCACACACACCATTTCCAACCAAGAACCAACACTCCATATCTAGACAGGCATTAAAAGTGGATTTGAACACACTTTAAAAAAAAAACTCAAGTTGATAAAAGTAGGCATTTCAGAACAATTAAATCCTTAGGAGTTGCACCTCACATTCATGATTATTTTAAACTGTATTTTCTCTCTCAAGTTTCTGTTTATTCCACTGAGAATCTAAGGGCGTCTACACAAGCCGGGCTGTGGTTCACCTGAGCTACTGGCTGAGCACATACTGGTCTCTGGTTATCGGTCACTCTGGCCTGGAATCGCCTCTCCCCATCCTCTAAAACAGATGCCCACCCCCACCCCAGCGGCAGGTGCCGGCAGGGTAAGCTCTATTTGGGAGAGCCATGGGTAGTGAGTGAGTGGGTGGTCCTTTGAGCTTGTCTACGGATGGACCCTCCAAAGCCACGGGTCTTAAATGAGACCTCCCTAAGGTTTCCTTCCTCTGAAAAAGTCGTTCCAGTTGCGTGTCCCGTGTCCAGCGCGGGCAGAAGCGATGCCTGCCTGATATCTGTCTCCCACCCCTGCAGGTTCTCAGCCCCAGCTCCAAAGCTTTCCTCAACGCACAGATCCACGCTTGTGTGCTGTGGGGATCAGCAGCTAGCTGTCCTGCTGGCAGGCGGCGGGCGAGGAGTCAGAAGCACAAACGCGTGTCCAAGCCTCGTTCCACCTCCCAAACCAGGGGGCTAGAGTAGCACTCCAAAATCCCAAGCAGGGTACGCACATCCCCTAAAAACCAGAGTGTACAACACACCAAAAGCAGAGCACAAGGACTACTACCCACTCCGGGGGGGGGGGCGGGGGGGCGCAGGGAGGGGTACCGGGACCTGGAGCTTCAGCAGGACCAAGTTACCGCGGGAAGACTGGGCCAGGCTGGACACAGCGCCAGGGCCAGCAGGTGGCTGCACGTGGGCAGGGTGGGTGAGGGTCTGCGTGCGGCGCCCCAAGAGCCTAGGAGCCTGAGACAGGCCCCGAGAAGGCGGAAGCCTGGTCAAGTGCCTGTCGCCGCCCTCTGCTCAAAGAGAAACTGCTGCTCCTTGTGGGGAAGGGCAGGGCAGGGACCGCGCGAGGGGCAGCAGGTGTGCGGTTAGCAGGCACTGCAGGCTTCGATGGACCCCTGGTGCGCTCAGAGCCCATCAGAACCCCTCTCCGCACGCTGAAGGCGGTCTCCCTAGACCGAGGTCACCTCCCACCCCTAAACTCCTCCCCCCACCATTTCTAGGCCGCTCGAGTTTCAGCGACCCCGGGGTCCCCAGGCCTGGCTGGAGACCACTCTGGGATATCCCTCGGGCTTCCAATCCCCACCGCTGTGGACCTGAGTCTACACCCGCGCGTCCACCACTTCCCAAAGAAAGATCGGGGTTGCCGACGTGGTATCGGTCCGAGAGGTCGCCTAGTTGCCACCTGCGGGGCCACCTGCTCCGCTGGTCAGGTGTGACCCAGGCGCTCCTGGCCTGGGAGAGGGACCAAAGTTCTGCTGCTGGCACCGAGCACCCTCTCTCTCGCCTTTCTGGGAGTCAGGCTCGGCGCTGGGGTCTCCCGCTCTTAGGGGCGCCGAGACAAAGGCTCCAGGGCCGCCCCGCGCGTCCCTGATCATGATCACTTACCGGTGCTGGCTGCGGCTCGGAGGTCAAGGGGCACCAGGGAGCCCGGCAGGAGGGACCCGACGCTGGGCTCCGGGTCACTAGGCCGCGGGTACTGCGTTTCGGGGTCGCGAGACTCGGGCCGCTTGGGCCGGAGGCTCGTTCTCGCTGGCGCGCAGCGGCGGTGACTGACAGCGGCTGCTCCGGGGACGGGCGCGCACCCCGCTCCAGCCCCGCCCCCCTCTGCCTGCCAGCAGGTAAACGCGCGCCACTGGGAGGGCGGGAGACACGCGGGGACCCAGGGGCAGGGCAGATTCTCGGAGCGGCAGGGCGGGGCTTTGCTTGTCACCGCCCTACGCTCTGCACCGCCTGCGCTCTCTGAACTTTCCAGCTTCGGAAACCTGGAGAGCGGGAGCTCTCAAGAGAGGTCTAGATGGCATCGCCCGCCCTGCACCACAGGTTACCTTGATGCACCTGTCCCGGATGAGGAGGTCAGCCGGACCCGAAGTGGATGTCTGTGTTCTAGGCCTGAAACTGGGGCTGAGACCACAGGTGCTGGCTGGAGGACCCAGGACGCCCTAGTGGCTAGTGAGTCCAGCAAGGAAACTTCCCCTTTCTGCCACTCAGGAACCCGCTGGGTTTACTTGAACACTGGTTCCTGCTGTCACAGGGGTCTTTTGACTCCATCAGCCTGGCTCTGGGTATGTGGGAGGAAGCAGTGGATGGGGACCACAGTGAGTAAGTCTCTGGTTCTTCAGTGAGATAAACCCTGCTAGGGAATCAATCAGCTAACCTAGGGACACACACCATGCATGCCAAAAACAGAGAGCAGGAAGTCTCAGAGCTGGCTCCTAGGGAGTTTCACATCCTCCTGAAAGGTGGAGGATCTAGTGACTATGTCCAAATGCCAGTCTTCCTAAAACAAATATTTTCACAGCAGTCTAGAGACAACTAGGTCCTTACCTAGGAGCTTATGGCACACATGGAGGTGCAGGTGGGGGGTGAGGATGTAGGTCCTGGGATTTGGAGTTAAGGATAGAAAAGCAGGGAAAGGTCCTGGTCCAACCGAAGATGAAGTGACTTTAAGCCTATTTGAAGCAAGAGGGCCACCCAGGACAGAGATGTCCAGTGCTCACCGAGAATGTTGGAACTTTGGGTCCCATTCCAGACACCAGAACTCAATGTCAGCAGCTAGAAGACAGATGTGTCCTGGAGTCCCTGCCATGAGGTGTCAGTGAATCTGGGCACTGCCTAGCCCCAGTGGGGACAACAGTCTCATGCCCTCCAAAGCTTCTCTTGATTCCCAGGGACATCAGGCTTCCTTTCCTATGGCAGGCATGGCTGATCCTATTAGACCCTGTGAAAAGGACTTGTGATATGTTACCTGCATTGTTTGTGGGGATACAATGCTTGTGTAGATAGGTGTTGCAGAATATTACTTTAACTTAACTGAGCAAAGATGTGTTACATTTGTTTATGCTGCATTTGTTTAACTATGTGAAGCTGTGTTGCTTTGCCTGCCTAAGGCACCTGATTGGTCTAATAAAAAAGCTGAACAGCCAATAGTTAGTAGAGGGATAGGTGGGGCTGGCAGGCAGAGAGAATAAGTAGTAGGAGGAAGAATCTAGGCTCAAGAGAGGAGAAAATGAGGAAGAAAGATAGGGACAGCCAGAGCCGTCCACCCAGGCATCTGCCAGCCAGCCACACCCAGGGTAGGACATACAAAATGAAAGAAAGGTAAAAAGCCCCGAGGCAAAATGTAGATGAGGAGAAACAGGTTAAATTAAGTTCTAAGAGCTAGTGGGACAAGCATAAGATAAGACCAAGCATTCATAATTAATAATAAGTCTCCATGTCATGATTTGGGAGCTGGTTAGTGGCCCCAAAGCAAGCCTGCTACAGACCAGCAGCCAGACCCTCGAACTGCATGAAGACTTTTCGAGAAAGAGTGTGAAGTAGGCTGTTTAATTAGGCCTGTAGTAGGACAGTCCCATAAGGTCAAGGAAATTGGCTCAAACCAGTTACCAAGGCATGCACATAACATACTTCCTAATGAGCCAAGCTGGAGTCTGCCCAAGAGCCTAGCAACAGGCGCTGTCCAGAGTTCCTGATTGTGCCCAGCCAATGAGGGACGACCATGAAGTGCCACCAGATTGGGACACAGCTTGGGTGCTAGGAGCCTTCCCATTATTGAGTAAACGAGTCTACTGTTTGCCTTCAACTGACTCCCGGTGTCGGCGCCATTGACACTGCGCTTTCTCCCTCCCTGCCCCGAGGGAGCTGCTAGGATCCAGCAACAAAGGCCACTGGTCAGTATTTGAAGGGCATGTTTAGCAGCTTCCTCTCTGGCTGGCCATGGAAAGGACAAAAGATCCAGGGAGCAGGGGACATGAAGCAAGTCTTGCTATGGAGTCAACTCTTAGCCAAAGACTACAGCCCTTAGCAAGATGGCTGAGATTCAGGGCTTTGGGTGACACGGGAAGTCACTTCTTGACACATGGTGACAATGCCTGGTTGTCTTTGGCGTTTTTAAAGAGGCCATGGTGTGGTTGCCTCCTTCTCTCACTAAAGCCCAGGCCACCAGAGGGTAGAGTGCAGAGTCCTGTCAGCATCTCACACCTCAGTGGGCAGCAAAGGCTTCTGTGTGCGACCTGCACTTAGGACGCGCTTGCTGAGTCAGACTCCAAGGCACCAAGGTAAGTTAAGATGCAAATTAGGACCCGGGAGAGTCTGCTGGGTTAGAGTTTGCTGTGAAAGTGTGACGGCCTGGGTTTGGGGCCTCCCTACTCACGAGAAAGCTAGGTGTGACCTCAGGGGCCTGTAATCCCAGCAGAGCGGAAGGAGGAGACAGGTGGGTCTTCAGGGTTCTCTGGTCAGCCAGCTTAGTCAGAACATCGAGTTTCTGGTTCCGTGAGAGACCCAGTCTCAAGGAAGCAAGTGGAGGGCGATGGAGGAAGACATCTGATGTCCTCTTCAGGCCTCCATGTGCACATGTCAATATGTGCACAGAAATGTACACACCACACATGGACACAGAAGCCTGATCTAAGCATTTCTCCGGATGCTGGTGTTGTGAATTTTCTGTTTTTTCTTTTCAGAATTACATTTATAATTCTGTTTCGATTATGAAATGACGAGACTTCATTCTCCCCTCTGGTCTGGGATTTGCAGTTTGCAGAGAATGGACCTGGGTCTGGGTGATTGTCTCATCTACTGGTCTAGGGAACAACTGAGTATGACTGGCCATGCTCATAGACTGCAAGAACATTAGGGGAGTGACTGGCAGGAAGTTCAGCCTAAGAAAAACCCGCCATGATTACAAGGAGAGCGCTGTGGCTGTAGACCCAAGCTACATGCTCACCAGAACCCTTGTTGCTGTGCTTCTTGTAAAAGTAGGGCAGGGGCATCTGGCTGAGAGAAAACAGTTCCTACCACCGATTTGTTATTATTTTATAAACTTCCACAAAGTGTAAACCACATGATATTTTTGCTTAACTATAGCTTCACATTTTTGTTGATAAAATAAGAAGCATCTAGTTACCTATGGGACTTGAAGGCTCTCGAGGACCGATAGGGATCTATGGACGCGTCTATGTGTTTAGGCTTCCCACAGGTGCTGTGCTGTGGTTGGTAAGTATTAGTCCAATTTTTCCCCTGGATTTTCCAGTGTGATACCTAACTGTGTTTGGTGATTTTCAGGATGCCTTTGTAATCCCCTGGGCCTCTTTGTACTCACAAGTGGTCACTTTAAGTTGAAATTGGTGTGGTAATTTGTTTCCCCAACACCATCTCCAGCCTCACTCCCTCTTCTTCCTGTGTGACTTTGGCACTAATGCCGTGTGTGTGTGGGGGTGGGGGGGGTAGGGTGGGGTGGTGGGTGGTGGTGGTACAGAGTCTCTCTGCTCCCCGTGAATCTCTGAGAAGCTTGGTAATTTCTTCCACCAACAGGCAATTCTCTGCACTTGAGACAAAAGCTCTCCCGCTGAGCCACATCCTCAGTGGAAGGCTCCGCACTCCGGAGGCTGGATCACAGCAACGCCAACCAAGGCTGCCCTTTCCCAGTTGACTGTCCCACTTGGAACCTGGCCACCAGGCTTTGAGGCAGCCCGGACAGAGTCGTGGGGCAGCCACGTGCACACCCTCTGCTTGACAGCTGCATGAGATCCTACCAGCTGTGAGAGGGGACAAGCCTTCCAGGAAGTCTGCCTTGGGGTCACCCTCTTCTGATTCCTCCGAGCTGGGCTTGGACAGCACAGAGCAGAAGGAGGCCATCTGCCCCTTGCACTCCCAACTCCGGGCCCACAGGAGTCGTGAGGTGAGCACAAGTCAATGGTCGTGACTTTGGCCCATGAAGCTTGGGTGTGCTGCTGTACACTGGGGTGGCAGGAAGAGATACTGGAAGGATTAAGCCAGACAGTGGGGGATGACAGAACGCTGAGGTGTGCCCACTGTTTCTCACCCCCACTCTATTTGTGTGTGTGTGTGTGTGTGTGTGTGTGTGCTCTATATAGATAACCACAAGTTCCACATACAGAGAAGAAAGCCCTGTATTAAATGCCAATCTTGATTATCTGGCATTTCATTCTCCCAGTCACTCATTTACTTACTCAGTAAGCAAAACAAAACAAAAAACCAACAAAACAACTTTCATTAAGCATGAAGACAAGGTGTTTCTCTTGAGAAACACCAAGCGCTCTGGTTTAGGCAAACAGTGAAGAGGAGCACATGCCCAGGGAACAGTGCCTGCACACAGGGAGAGCCCCAGAACCCCAGGAGCCTGTCCAGGAGTGGTGAGCAGCGTGGGAATTGGCCAGATGGAGGAAAGAGGACATGTGCACACGGGGAGCTTGTTAGAAACAGGTAGGTCAAAGGGAGGAGCCTGCCATAAGCCCCGGGGGAACCACAGCCGAGCAAGTCACTTCATAGCTGAAGTTTGGCCAACACCTGCCAGAGAGCCAGCACCTTGTGGGATTAACTCATGCCGTTCCTGCAGTAAACTGTCGTCAGTCAGAGGAGGAGCCTGGGCTTTAGGAGCCAGCAAAGCTCTTAGGATCAACCAGTGGGTTCAGAGCAGAGCCTGGGTGCCACGCAAAGGCCCTGTGCAGGCCGACTCGATGGCCCTGGGAAAGTCTCCCAAGATCTCCCGACTCCCACATAGGTGGGGGCAGCTCTGAACTCAGGACAGCTCTCACTATGGCTCCTGGTCACCTCGTACCTAGCAGAAGGCCTCCTGTGCAGGTGTGTGACCATCCCTATCTTTGATTCAGCACAAAGAACAGCAGGGAAGGTAATCCCAGTGACCGACCCAGCATTGTCTGGGGGCCGTGAAGGAGCTCTTGTCTCCTTTTGGAGGAACCTGGGGAAGGGCAGCTGACCCACCCAGTAAGTCTCCTAAGCCCATTTGGAGTTCATAGCAACCTGCTTACACAAGGGCCCCTGCACCTCTGGCCTGATGTTCTGTGTCCTCTCGTCTCTGCATCGGGGACCGCCATGTCAGGGTAGGTGAACTGTGTGGCTGGGTGATTGCACAGGAAGGTCTGTGTCTCTCCCAGCCACAGGCTCACCCTCTGCAATGTGGAGACAACTGCTCCCTTACCAAGTGGCCGGGCTCTTCCCACAGCTCTTTCCACAGATTCCGAGGTGGCAACGAAGCTTGTTCATTCTCCTGGCGGTTTTCTACACCATTTACAAACAGATCTAACATCAGAAGAACTCTGGGCTGGCCGTGGAAACTTCACCTAAGTTCACCTTGTTAGAGACATGGAACCCAGTCTGTGGGGCTCGTGCGCCCTCTGGAGGACAGGTGTGTCAATTCAGGCTACTTAAATCTCTGAAAGACTTAGCAGGTTGAAGGACAGTCCAAGTTTGGGGATAGGATCCAGGGCAGAGAGGACGCTCAGGAAAATCTGATGACCAGCCAGCATCGGATGGGACTTCAGTGTTTTCCTTCATTTTCTTCTGTATGTCTTGTGTGTCTCTGGGGTCTTGGAAGCACGAATTAGAAAAGAAAACCCATCAACGAACCAATCGAACAAAAAATCAACTTGAGGATGAGGTTGGTTTCTCCCTGTCCACACATTCGCAAGCATCTTCTTGGGTCAAGCATTCAATCTTATTTCTCCATACTCCAAGGGAAAAAGAATGAGGTTATATGACAACCAGAAAACACCATTAGTCTTCAGGGCACATGTTTGAGTGCCCTTTATAAAACACATCGGCACACAACTAGATTATTGAAGTCAAATGGTAGCCAGTAGTGTGTGTGGGTGTGCACACACCACACACACACAGTGCCGGAAGTTGTCTAGGAGTCTAGGCCTACACGTGCTAGGTAAGAGTTCTACCACTGAACTACATCCCAAGCCAAGGACCTGAAGGTTTGTTTTGTTTGTTTGTTTGTTTGTTTTTGGCTTCTATCTGTGTCACCCTGAAAGGATCCGGTGGAAATAAAGGACACCGGATGTTGTTCATTCTTGTTTCTGGGGGTGAAGGTTCATATATAAAGCTGTCCGTATGACAAAGAAAAGATTCAACTTGGGTTAAGAAAATAGGCTCTGTCTCTCTGTCCACAAAGTTACTAAAATAAGTGAGAAGTAACAACAGCCACACACTGTGTAACTGACCTCGCCTCTGTGGTAACAATGTGGCTGGGTTTGTGCCAGAGCAGTCTTCCCTTCCCCAGATTGTTTTTATTCTTCTCTCATACAATACATCCTGACCGCAGTTTCCCCTCCCTCCTCTCCTCCCAGTCCCCCACCCCGTTCCCCAGATCCACTCCTCCATCTCCCTTCAGAAAAGAGCAGGTCTCCCAGGGATATCGGCCCAACACCGTGTAACAAGTTGCAATAAGACTAGCCATACATCTTCATATCAGGGCTGGGTGAGGCAACACACTAGGAGGAAAAGGGTCTCCAAGAGCAGGCAAAAGAGTTAGAGACACACCCCACTCCCACTGTTAGGAGTCCCACAAGAACACCAAGCTACATAACCATAACGTATATGCAGAGGGCCTAGCATAGACCCACACAGGCTCCCCGGCTGTCACTTCTGTCTCTGCGAGCCCCTGTGAGCCCTGCTTAGCTGATTCTGTGGGCTGTGTTCTCCTGCTGCCCTCAACTCTTCTTGCCCGTGCAATTCTTCCTCCCCCTCTTCCATGGGGTTCTCCAAGTTCCGAGGGGAGGAACCCGATGGAGATCTCCAATTTGGATTCTCCAAATTGTAGGCCAGAGGACCCCTACATACATAGTGTCAGTCCTTAGTAGTGTCATCCACTGTTTTTTGTTTTTCTGGACAGGTCTTCTCACTTCTCCAGGACTCCCTGGCGTGCAAGGCTGGCCAGCGAGCCCAGGAACGCAGCTGTCTCCTCCTCCCTAGCTGGACTACAAGCGTGTGCCACCATGCCTGGCCCCTTTACCTAGATCCCGGGAACTGAATGTGGGTCTTTGTGCTTTTAAGCAAGCGCTTTACTGAAGGAGCCATCCTCCCTAGCCCCTCTACCCACACCTTTTGCTTTTCACTTTGAGATTGTCTCATTCTGTAGCCCAGACTGCTCATGATCTTGTGGCAATCCTCCTGCCTCAGTCTCTGTACATGGGGATTATAGCCCAAGTCACCATATATGGCTCTGGATTACAGAGTGGAGTGTGTGTGTGTGTGTGTGTGTGTGTGTGTGTGTGTGTGTGTGTGTCTTTCCTGAGGCCTTTGGGTAGTGAGCTAACTGTGGCTATCAGATGTATGAGAATACAATGGGTCCAGGACAGGAGCCCCCAGGAATCATAGACCATGTCTGGAATTGCAGGGACCATAGCTCTAAGAAGCCTGATAGTCAAGAAAGGAAAAGAAATTTAGAAAGGTCTTCTGTTACAGGATATATGATCACACTGTGAACCCCGAGATTGTGTTATTTACTGGAAAAACCTGTTTCTAGTTATGGTGTGGCTCAGCCCTAGCACACACCTTAATCCAAGAGCTTTCTGCTTGAATATTGTAAACAGGATTAAATAAAGTCAGCCAAAATCAAGAGGCAGAACAAGCAACCAGTTGACAAGAAAAAAAAAAAAACATAGAGAGTAAGAGGGCGTCAGGAGGATAGAGAGACACAGAAACAGAAGGGAGGGACATTGATTTTGAGGAGTTTTGATTGAGATGGCGTAGGAGAAAGCTCTCTTTCTGGGATGTCAGCGGAAGAGGATGGTCAGCCGGTGCTTTCTTGGCCTCTCTGAGCTATCAGGTTTTCACCCCAACATCTGGCTCCCGAGTCTTTATTAGCAAAACTGAACGATTGAGATTTTGTTAAAAACAACAGTCTTTTCTCTGCCTGCCGTATGAGTCACTTTATAATTTCTTATAAACCAATATTTGGCAAGTATATCTGTTTTATTTGCTTATAAATCTGGGATTGTGTCAAAATTTCTCAGGAGAAAAGGAGTCATGAATGAAAAGAGTTTAAGAGAGTAAGATGGTTCATTAACCCCCTTTCGGAATACATCTTCAGCCTGTCAGTTCTCCTCCATCTCTAGAGAACCCCAAAGCAGGCAGTTGTGCAGTTATCTGCCTGTGTATCTATGTATGCATCCAAAAATCTGTTTCAAGGATTGCGATCATGTGACTTGGGACCCTCATCGGTGCAGAGCCTACAGGCCATGCGTCAGGCTGGAACTTTGGGTGCTAACATAAGCTGGTCTGAAGGGGAACCCCTTCTTCTCCGGGAACCTCTGTCGGCACTTAACAACTCAGCCGGAGGGATAAGGCCTACCCACCTCACCCATGGCTGTCCCTTCCCTCAAAGTCACCCGACTGTAGGTGTCAATCTTAATCAGGTCTACAGACAGTTTCACATGGACTAGCACTAGATGACCTCAGAGGCAGGTCAGATGCACTGGCTTGTAAAACTCGTCTGTTGTGGGGCAAATCAGTGATGCTACCTAAGGTGATCTAGCTGCATAGACTTCCTTGACTAACAGGATGTTTAGTACAAACAGCTAAAGTTAATCACAGAGCGTTCTTCCCCCAGCCCTTAAGCCATAGTGCAATTGGACTTCTAACATTTTTGCAGGGGGGATGCGTATGCAAATGTTAAGATGTATTTTTCATTTGTTTCCTACACTTTATGAACATTAAGGAAATACTTGCCCTCTGGGTAGAAATTGGGATGCTCTTAAAAAATAATATTTGCTGGCTCCCAGAGATGAAGCCCTAGCTGGGGCCTCTGAGCCCCAGCCACCTGATCCCCAGGGCCTAATGAGCTCCCTGAGCTAATGCGTGTGCCGGGCTTCTTCAAATGCCAAGTTATTCCTTTCCGGCAGGGTTGTAATCCATTTTCTGCTGACTATTATGAAAAATATGGACAAGAGCAAAATTTCAAATGCTGTTTTACAAAAATTATTTAATCATCTCTGGCCTGTGGTGGGAATTCATCTGGAATGGCCCATGGATATGTGTCTCTGCACAGTTACCCTGGCATTTGCAATCTGAGCCCATTTCATGAAAACCTCACCCTGCTCATCTGAGTGATGGATGGTTTCATGCTGAGCAGAGTGCGGCTAGAGTCAGCCTCAAAGGACAGCAGAAGATGGCAGAATAGTGTTTGGACGGGTTTGAGACGGCTTCCCCCACCTTCAGGATGGTGGCAATTTACCACCAGCTGGGGTTGGACATTCTATCACTGTAACATTATTACTTTATTTGAAATCCTAGATCCATGATAAATGATCTTGCCACCAGGGCAGGGTAGAGGAGGCAGGCTCCATTAGCCATTTCCATTTTGGAGAAATCGCTTTGGATTGTCCCTGAAGCCCTTTGATGAGATGCAGGGAGGAGAGTCAAGGCAGCAGCAAGCTCTGGTGTGGTGCTGGCCCGGAGTCAGACTCCACGTGGGGACCAGGACCTCTGCACATCTCTTTCCAACCTTCTGTGTTTTAGAGTGGCCCTGTCCTCCGATGTCCTCCATAATGGAAAAGCTAAAGGTTTCATATCCTTGATAGACACTTGAGGGCCGATCAATCTGTTAACAATGAATGGAGGCCCAGAGCAAGACTGAGCTGGGGAGAGGGTTGTAGGAAAGGCCAGTGGACTTGGAGAAGGGGACACTGGGGTTCAGGTCACTGAGGTTTGTACTGAAGGCACTGGATAAACTTTCCAGAGTTGTAGAGAGGTGTTGAAAAGCAGGGTCCTCTGAGCCAAATGGCCCCCATTATTATCAGATTACCTGTGCCTGAGCTGGAGGCCATCCTGATTGGGTCTGTGGACTGTTGGTATTTGAATGGATGGAATGAAGTCTGGACCCTCACCTGAAATTCCAGCCACTTCTCCAGTCCATTTGTGTCCAGTTCTGCCCTAATTTCAGATGGCCTCATGGCCTTGGGGGCTGAGGGGTGCTAGGGTATATAAGCTGGGGGAAGTTAATTGAGAGAAGGAGGTTCTATCTCTGTGGCTATGAGGAAGACGTCACCCATGCTGGGTGAAGACTTTCCATTGTGGCTGATTTGAGATCACCCCTGTTCCTGCTGGTGACCCCTCCCCTGTGCTCTAAGTAAACCCAACAAACGTGTTTGTTCCCCGGAGGGCGCTTTGGCGGGTTCATTCTTTGTTTGTCCTTGGGACCTTATAAGGAGGAGTGTCGTTGTTCACATTTCTCCAAAGGCAGAATTCTCAAGTCAGGTGGGAATGTGGGTTCACATTTGCCAGGGCCCTGCAACACATAACGACTCATGGAAAAGACCCAAAGCATAAGCCTGTTTCTGGATGCCCCAGGGCTGCTGAATACTGTGGTGCAGCTCATCTCAGGTGTGGGTGGAGCTGGTTCTTCCCCTACAGCCCCCTGATTTCTGGCACAACATAAATGGCTTTGGTGAAGAAAAGGCCTTGCAAAGACACAACCACACCCAGGCCACAGCAGAGGAAAATGGAGATCTAGAGTTGGAGAGAAAACCAGCACCAGGGACGGAGAAGCATCTGGCCTGAGGCCTCTTGGAGCTGAGGGAGCTGCCTCATCCTTTCCAGGGTGAGAGACAGCAGACTGCTGTCTGTGATGTCTGCTCCCCAGGAGACAGATGCATATTTGTCAGGGCCAGGTTCAGAACTGGACACAGTGGATGACTCTGAAATGGAAGGGGTGGGAGCTGGGAGGTTGGGAGGTGGCTCAGTGATGACAAGCACTTTCTGCTCTTCTAAAGGACCCAAGTTCCGTTCCCAGCACACACATCTGGCTACTCACTGTGGTGGTATTGTGTTCCCCAAAATACTGTGCACGCTAATAAACTTATCTGGGGTCAGAGAAGAGAACAGCCACAATATTAAACATAGAGGATAGGCAGTGGTAGCACACACCTTTAATCCCAGCACTTGGGAGGCAGGGCTAGGCCTATCTCTGTGAGTTCAAGGATACAGCCAGCATTAGAGACACACACCTTTAATCTCAATACCAACCATAGAAGACCTGGAGGTCTGTACAGACAGGCAGTGACGAGGAGGTCATGTGGTTGGGTTTACAACCAATGAGAAGGCAGAACAGAAAGTCAATAAAGTACAGACAGACAGGAAGCAGGCCTCTTTCTGAGGGGAAGGACGATAGCGGGAGCGAAGGGTAAGAAAGGATTTTTAGTATCAGCTTTTAACTACTGCTCTGACTTCTTGGTCTTTTAACTCTGCATTTGGTTCTGTGTTTCTTATTTAACAAGACTCTTTAAGGTTCATGCTACATCTCACTACCACTTAGAGCTCCAGCTCTGGGGAACGGAAGCCTTTTTTGGCCTCTACAAGTGCTTGCACATATGTGGCACATATTCTCTCTCTCTCTCCCTCCCTCCCCCCCATCTCATATACTCACATTCTCTCTCTCT